TGGATTCAAGCTGCTCTTCATATTTTTGGCCACCAGATGTCACCAGAGAGGACTGTGTTGAAAAGCTTCGAGTAATGAACCGTTTTTCTATACAAGCTTCAGAAAGCTTCATCTGCCCATCACTACCGTATGCTCTTCAACTTCCTCTGGAAAAACAGGACACATTACATCAGAGGCAGTGTAATGATGAATGATTATGAACACGGTGGTCTCAATGCTTTTGTCATGATCCTGTGTCTGTGACCCAGCGCTTTGAGTTTATTCTTATTATTTTCTTGTTCATTCTGATTTTGTATTAATTCTTTAGGTTGGGTTCTCGTGTCTTGTGATCCCTTCCTGTGTCTTCCCTCTGCTCTGTTTGTGTTCCCGAGTTTGTGTTGTAGAACAGTCTGTGAGTTTCCTGTTTTGTTTTGTAGGTTTGTGTCCCGTTATGCCTTCTGGCATCATTGATCACGTGACTCTATCCAGCCGAACCAAGCATCGAGACACTTCTGGAGCATTGTGTTGTTTTTTTTGGATACACGCGCCCGAACTGCAGCTTCAAACAGAGCGTGGAAATGAGCAGGTTGCGTTTTTTTTCTTTAATTAATCGATTTATTTTACTTCTTCTATAAAATTACAGGAAAGACACACTGACACTGCTCAGGTGAAAACAGCTTTAACCTGGTTAGGGTATGTAGTCGTGCGGAAATAAATAAACTATCCGCAAACTAAAGAAACATGTGAAAAGATAGTTTTACATTTTCAGACAGTTAAAATGGACAAAAATCTCAGTCTGGTTCAAGTCGATACTAGAGTGCTTTCACTTTCGCTTTTATAGTCGAATGCACTAAGAACGTGCGATTGTAAAATGTTATTTCCGTTTCTCACCGTTATACACACATTCATTAAATAACTTATTTCCTTCCTTTTATTTCCAAACTCCTTTTTTGCAAAGTTTTTGTTTGTTTTGTTTGTTTGTTTTTGCTGCAGGAAACAATGCATAAGTTGTAGTTTGACAGATCATTTAAAATGTTTGGGTTTTTTTGACATGTCATATTCTTTTACTGAGATGGCCTACAAAGAATCATGGCTATGATAATATTTTGATGTCTGCAACTCTTTGGGATTATATCTGACTGTTTAATAACTATTTCTAACTATTTCTTTATATTCAGCATAACAGACTCGCCTGTCTCATAACTGTGAGACACATTGAAATATGTTGTGATAATTATAGTTACATTCCCCCCACATATAAGCATGGAAATGTTTTCTCATTTAATCTACACAGACTTTTGATAGTGTTGAGGTTTGTCTGTAACAGTTTTTTATTTTTATTTTGTAAAAACGTACATGTATATTAAGCATATATATTTTTGCATAAGCAAAAAACAAAAAAACCTATAAAAACCAAAACTAGTCACAGACTTTATTTCTTTGGACTGCTTTTAGCTTTGATGGCATACATTCATCATGGGATCATATAGATGAGTTAATACAACGTCACAACATTCATTTTCATCCAGAGTTACATTAACTGTTCCTTAATATCTTGTAATAATGAGGTAGAGTATATTCATTTGACCTCATTTTTGGGGACATAACGTTAATAGACCAAGACTTGATCAACTGATTCCTCTGCAGGTTTTATTAATGTGTTAGACAGTTCTTAGCCTAAGTTTTAGTCATTGCAGCGCTTGCTCCTTGCTCGATGCAGGGCTAATACTTTTGTTTTCAGTAATGGTTAATAATTAACATCTGTCCCACAGCCGAGTTTTTAACTATCTGTCTGACAAAGTATCTCTAAGACACCCACCCCACCCCCGCCCCCCCCACCTCATAGTTTTCTAGACATTCCCACTTGCCACCGCCTACTAGACTTGCTCCATAGTGGAGTCACTCATGATCACTGGGTTTTTCTCTTATTGAAGGCCTTTATGTTACAGTATAGTGCCTTGAGGCCGCTGCTGTGATAAGGCACTATATAAATAAAACTGAGTGGAACATTTTTCATTTAGTTTATTAACTCTAACTCACATCTAAAACGTATATCTGCTGTTCTTCTTCTTGTGCTGTAAAGTTGGTGTAAAGATGACAACGCTTTTTTAGAAATCCTTCAGATCTGAGACCTCGGGAACACCCAGAGAAGTAAGTGTTTACTTGCGGAGCTTTAACACTCATTCATTATATTCAACTATGGCTTTTAAAGAGCTAAATAGTTTTATTCTTCCCACCAGCTGAACCACTCAATGATGTTTCCAGCAGAGTCCATTTCGGCAACTTATGAAGCTGGTAAGTGCAGTTCTGCATCCATTATAGCACATTTCCTCATGCATGAACACTTCCACTGAATTATGCAGCTGTAACCAATTCTTCAACTTTATACCTAAGTTATACCTAAGATTAAATGAGATAACATTTCCATGCTTACTCCAGCCAGCGGGTGGTGACAGTGTACATTTAGCTGTTTGGTTATGGCTCAAAGTGCTAGAAGAAAAAAACACATACAGGGTGGAATTCGCAATTCACCTGAGCCTACTGCACCACACTCCAACAAATGCGACTAAGCTGGCAGTAGGAGGAATAATCAGCTGGTATCAAGAACCTGGCAGTATCATTAATCACATGTGTCCATTGCAGTGGATATTGATAGACTTTTGCAAAAATATAAAGGTGCTGGATTTGAGTAAAACTTAATTTCATCCAGCGTTCCTGTAGGTCACATAAAAAAATACTGCTGTACAAAAGTCTTAAGCATCTACTAGTTTCTTTATATTTTGCTAAGAAAATTGGAAATAAGTGCAGCAATTTTTCAATTGTGCAATTATATATTTTTATTTAAGTATGTAAGGCAGAAAGCAAGTTTGTATAAATCTAATGAGCCTGAAACTTCTGAAGCAGCTTTCTGTAATGTCTTTACGTAGTCTTCAGGAATATTTCTCCAGGCTTCCTGACAGACATTCAAAGCTCTTCTTTGGATTTTTCTTTCTTTTGTTCTGTTTTCTGTCAAGATGATCCCACACTGCTTCAGTAACGCTGAAAAATGAAGCCATTAATTGTCAGTTTTCCAGATGATATCGCATGATAGATCAAAATCTGATGGTATATTTATAATTTCAATAAATTCTGACAAGATCCCCAACACCACTGGATGAAATACAGCCTCAAATCATAATAGAGCCTCCACTGTGTTTTACAAATGGCTGAAGACTCCCTGCTGAACTTGTTTCCTGACCTCCTCTGCACATACTGATGATAATTTGATCCAAAATGTTGAATTTTGCAAGCCAGCAGTAGAGTGACAGCGTCTAGGTACCAGATTGAAATTCTCGGCACATCTGCAAGCCTTATAAATATATATCACCTTATAAAAAAGGGTTTGATTAGCTTGTGATTTCAGTTTATAACTTAATTTTGGTGTGATTTTATTCTCAGGAAATTGCATGGTGTTAATTGATAAAGATTTTTAACTTTTACATTTTATTCATTCAGAGCTAATATAAATGTTTCGGGGGGGTTTTAAACATTTTACATACATGAATTCATGAGTTCGTACGGGTGCTTAAACTCCTTGAAAATGCTTGGATTTTAATATTGTCTTTTCAAGGTTTGAAAAGTGCTTGAATTTTAGATGTGGTTCTTCAAACTGCTTGAAGCTGTAACTGTATTTCATTCACCACAAATAACTATCTGATTGCAGCACATCAGATAGAAAAATAAAATGAGTCGCAAAGTCTGAAAGCAAAATTTCTCCTCCTGGGCTGCCTTGCACCACTGCATGGCAGCGCTAGCACAGCAGTTAGTTATGGCATGATAATGTGAGTTATTTCCCTCAAGTGAAAGTTATAAACATTAGCCTGATACATAACTAGCCAACTTAAGGTTTTCTGATTAAAGGGTAAAAGTGAAGTTGTCAGTAGTAAGTAAATAGAATACTGTTTATATTTATGTGCATTGCTGCAGCTTTTTCATTAACTTGGTGCTTTTATGACACCTTAGGGGGGAAATGATGGTAACGTAACGGACCGATCCATATGGGCACAAAGAATAGTCCCTTTTTTGTGCTACCAAAGTTCCCTGACTTTCATTCAAAATCTGTTTATCGTGAGCACCTACACATTAAACAACTTAAACATTATAATGGCTTCAAGCTCACATTGAGGCCTGTGGGGCTCTATCAGCCCCTGAGACTCTAATAGACAAATTTCATATATGAATATTTCATACTTTAAGGCTGCCTGTTTATTTAACAGAGATGAACAATAAATTATAATTGTACACAATAATATCACATGATACATTAAATAAATAGATATTAGGTAGATGCTTGTGCATTCTTAAAGTCTGTTCTCCATGTCTGTCTTACTGCACATGATGTTATTAGCACAAACAAAGGTCATAATTTAGGACTTCAACAATAATATAGACAGCAACAGTGGCAGTCCTCGCCTGTTTGGCGCCCTGATGACTTTGAACTTTTCTTGTTCATCTTCCATTGGTTTTAATTTTGCACTCCAGTATGAACACAAATCCCCCAACGAGGATCACCACAACATAACCTAACACACCTACACCTTAGTTCACAGATTCACTTTGTCTAAGGTTTATTTCTGGGATTTCACACAACCCAGGATTCCAATCATGAGTAGATAATGGGCTTGTATTTACAACATTATGAATGAAATGTGCTCCACTTGGAAGCAGCCGGCCCCCTTTCGACGGCTTGTGTGTGAGACTTTAAATCATCAAACTGTAAATTTTATATTGTTATTGATCCCTTTACCCCGAGTCCTAAAGTGTATATTTATTGTTTGTTTACTGGCACTGCTGTAACTGGAGCCTCGTCGTCTCGTCTCTCTATATGCTGGACTGTCTGTAGCGGAGATGACAATAAAGTTTACTTTGACTTCAGCAGCGAGCACGCGCACTGAGGGCTCTCGCGCTCACTTTTCGCTTATAGAATTTCGAAAAAACATCGGTGCAGATTAAAAGTCTGTATTATAATGTCTGCTGTTTTCGTGTTTGTTGGTTTGTTTTTATTTTGTTTTATTTTGCGAGCTCCAGCCGACCAGAGAATTCCCGCCCTCTCCTCCCTGTGCAGCAAGCAGCAGGCGCACCTCGCAAACGGAGGGCGCCCTTACTCCCAGCAAATGGGCGATAGAAAACCGATCGGTGCCTGTGACATTCCCAATATGCGCTGGCTGATGTCGGGCAGCATGAGTACGAGCAATTTTTTATTTATTTTTTTGCTGATGCCCGTGTCGCCGCCCCCCACCCCGGGCAACGCCCCTATCAAAAACCGCTACTGGACAGCAAGTAAACATCTTACAGTTACTTTTATTGAGAATTAACTTTAAAGAAACAAAAATCAGTTTCCTATTTTTTTGTGTCAAATAGGAAAGAAGCATCAATATCTGATGAGAAGTGGTGTTGTATTTTTTGTATTTTTTCAAGAGGAGATGAATATCTCTAACAAGTTGATTTTTTTCACATTTGCTCATCTTAATGTTTAAGTGAAATGTGCTTTTTGAGTTTAAACACTATATGCATATAAGGCAACCTTTTCCTTTTGCAGTATTTTTGTGTGGTGTGTTTTTCTATGTTTTAACATTTTCACATTGTCTTACTGAGGTGATGCAAAGTGAAACATGCATATTTTTTTTTGGTATTGTGCTGGAAAAGCTTGAAAATGGACCTTGAAAGTATTTAAAAAGTGCTTCAATTTGACCCTGAAAAAGGTGTATGAACCTTAAGTTGTTTTAAAAATATTCCAGTGCCATATGGGAAAGGAAGTTGACCTCCAAAAGAATGCATAAGAGTGACATTTATGTATACTTACAGGTCAACCTCTGAAGCGCAGCAGCAGCTATGAAAAAATGCGCCCTGATAGTAAGTCAAACTAAACAAGATCAGAGTACTACTGTGCTTAATTAGGTTTGCATGTACAGTGTTGATTTGATTGTTCTTCTTTAGTTGTAAAAATTCATTATAAATGTTTTTTCATTGTCACTGCACACTGCACAATAGAGTTTCTTTATTAACTCAGATTAATGAAGAAACATAACTTATCAACTTTGCGTACCATCTGCAGGATTTCTGATCAGGGTGTACCTGTTTTAATCTCTTTACAAATTAAATCCCAAATGCACAGAATGACAATAACAGGTCCTTTATTTTGTTTGTTTTCTGGATCACCAACAACTACTCAAAGTATTTACAGTGATTCCAGTCATTGTTCAGGTATCAGGGTTTACATTGTCTTGTATGAAGCATTTTTATGCATTGATCATTTTTTATCAGATTTTCTTAAATGAAAAATCAATTAAAAAAAACATAAACAAATGTTGCAACAAACTGCGAGATCAGATTTGTATGACACCATAATGGACATATAATGTGGATATAGTTTGATAGGTTTTTGAATATTTTTAATAATAATGTGATTCTTTACATATCTGAATTTTCTTCTCAGTGTCTGAGCTGAGGGTTGTTTTGCTGGGCAACAGCTGGTCTGAGAGGAGTTCAGTGGGAAATGTTCTCATCGGAGAGACCGTGTTCAATGCTGAGAAAGAATGGAATACCTGTCTGAGAGTGACCGGACCTGTGGAAGACAAAACCATAGCTCTCATCAATGCTCCTGATCTGCTGGATCCGAACATGTCTGATGACCAACTGACAGAGATTATAGACAAATGTAAGAGTCTCTCTGAACCGGGACCTCACGTCTTCTTGTTGGTTATACAGCCTGAAACCTTCACTGGGGAAAACCAGAAGAAGCTACAATCAGTCCTGGAAAACTTCAGCGATCTATCATTTGATCACTCATTGATAGTGATATCATCGCCTGGTGGTCAGAGCTCTGGTTCCACTGAAAACTATCTGCAGCATCCACCGGTAACAGATATGATCAAGAAATGTAAAGACAGCTTGTTTTGGCAGAACCTTGAACAACGTCAACTGGTAAAAGCTATGGGAAAAATTGTACAGCAGAGTGATGGAGATCACGTGAGCTGTAATGTTTCCACAGCCACTACATCTGGTTTGCCCAGTTACCGACCAAGCCTGACACAAGGAGAAACTGTCACTGTCAACCAGGATCCTGTTAAAGGTACTTTTTTCATTTAGTAGTATTCTTCATAAATTGCTTTTGTTGTATAACAATCATGCATTACAAATATTTTACCAACTCCCACCATGTTTGCATCTGAGAGGCAGCTGATTGGTTGTCATTAGTGGTGGTTAGCATTTTCTTTCTTCACCATTCGAACAGCCAGTATAAATGACTTCAGTAAACCTAAGAATGTCTTCCTTACAGGCTGGCAGTTTTTTGTTACAACAACAAATGGTGTAAGTCATAATAAAATGTGATTTAATAATCACACTATAGCTGCTCAGTGAGGTTCAATATAGAAAAAGCAAAGTTTTATTACAGCCACTCTAAAATGCTGCCCCAGAAAACATCCATTTAGCTGGCAGTCAGTTGTTAGTCACTTTATAGTTCATTTGAACCTTGAGGCCAGTTCCACTGTATTTTACAAAAACATGGAAATGAGCTAAAAGGCTGGCATTGTCATATTAATGTTGTTTCCACAAACGATAGTGGTCTAATCAGACCATCTCTCACAAAGAAAAAAATTCACTTAACTAATCAAATGCTTTGCGTTCTGTTTGAGATTCATAGCCTTTAGAAAGGACTCTTGATTTATGTCAAACTACCAGCATTGTCATAGTTGGAATTTTAGCAAGTCAAAACCAACTCTGAACTGTGACTTTGTTTTTTCTCTTTTTTATTTCAGCATCTTCCTTCAGGATTGTACTTTTGGGGAGAAATGAGGACAAAAAGGGAAAACTGTTTAATTTGATTCTAAAAACTCAAGATTCTTATTTGAAAAGATTCCAAACAACAAAACAATGTGTGGCCTCCTGTGGGGAGTGGAGAGGAAACTCTGTAACAGTCGTGAAAACTCCAGACATGCTCAGTCAAACTGAAGATGTAGTAAGAACACAGGTGGAGAGGTGCATCAGACTTTGCTCACCTGGACCAAATGTTCTTCTGCTGCTAGTGGATTCTGATTTCAATGAGAAGAAGAGAGAAAGACTGAACTTCATCCTGAGCTTGTTTGGTCATGATGCCTTTAAATACTCGATGGTCATCCTGACAGAAAAGAAGATCAGTAACAGTGTAAATAAGCTTGTTAAGGAATGTGGGGACAGAATGTGTGGAGTAAATGACACTACACGTAAAACGCTAATGGTTGAGATTGAGAAAATCATTCCTGGGCACAACAAGCCTTCTTTAAACCTGGTTCTGTGTGGGAGGAGAGGAGCAGAGAAGACGTCAGCAGCCAAGGCCATTTTAGGTCAGACTGAGCTTCATCCAGCCTCCAACTCATCAGAGTGTGTTAAACATCAGGGACAGGTGTGTGGACGTTGGGCTTCCCTGGTGGAGCTGCCTGCCTTGTATGGAAAACCTCAGGAGGCAGTGATGGAGGAATCACTCAGGTGTATCTCCCTCTGTGATCCTGAGGGTGTCCATGCCTTCATCCTGGTCCTACCTGTGGCTCCCCTCACTGATGAAGACAAGGGAGAGTTAGAGACCATCCAGAACACATTCAGCTCTCGAGTCAATGACTTCACCATGATTCTGTTCACTGTGGACTCAGATCCTACAGATCCAGCTGTTCTTAACTTTGTAAAGAAAAACCAGGACATCCAGGAGCTCTGTGAGAGCTGTGGAGGAAGATCTGTTGTTCTCAATGTCAAAGACAAAGGGCAGATATCAAAGCTGCTGGAAACAGTGGAAAAGATGACATCTGGCAACGATGAATCAAGCTATACACTCACCATGTTTACACGTGTCTATGTGGATAAAATCACCACGCTCCAGGCAGAACTGAAAAACTTGAATCTACATGACATAGGCCTTTGTAAGTATTTTATATATAGTTTCATAGGTTTTATAAAACTTATAAATATGCCAAGGTTGAAGATCCTGTCTACACACATAAAATCCAGACATTGGAACAGACATTATTCTTACTCAACCTCCAGTTCTCATTCATCATATTAATTAGACTTATACTTGGTTGTATTTTTGATTAAGAATAAATATTTTTTGATATTTACAAAAGTACATACAAACTACATTTAGCATAAGAATTTTAAACATGAAAGACTGGATGTTAAGGCCTTATACCCTCTCTCAGATGTAATGAGAGGTGAGCCAGGGCATCTCCTGTCCCTTTGAATTGCACTGTTCTCGATACCTGCAGGCCAAATAGTTCAATGTTTGTTTCATCAGGCCAGAGAATTTTGGCCTTATTGCAAACTCCAGGCTGAGGTCTGGACTTTGGCAGGACTATTGCAACACTTTCATTTCATTTTCTTTTTCAGCCATTCTGTGGTAGATGTCTGGCTGTGCTTGGAATCATCGTCCTGTTGATGACTCAGTTTGGTCCAAGTTTTAGCTCTCAGACAGATCTCACATTTTGTATAAGGTGTTTGTGCTGATATGCTTGGTTTGGTTTTCTCCAAAAGGATTTTTGTGCATTATGTCCATACATCTCTGCTTTGGCCACATCTGTCCACACTAGATTGTTCCATAAATTTTTGGTTTGTTTAGATTAGAGATGGACCGATCCGATATTGCGTATCGGTATCGGTCCATCTCTAGTTTAGATGCATCTTTGAAAATCTCATACATACTACTTTGTTCTTGAAAACAGTCTTGAATAAGAGGTAGATCACATTATTCGGAAAGGGCCTAATAACACTTCACAGATTGATGAGCAGCAACAGTCTGAAATCAATGCTGATGTTTTTCCTCTTTGATATTGTGTTGACACACATGAATGCTCCAGACCAGCAAACTGCCAAACCCGCTGCTTTTATAGAGGTGCTCTTACCTGCTCATGATCAAGTCAAGCAAGCACATTTGATTATCAGCAAACTGGCTGCTACTTGTCCTCTGAATTCTTCGGAAGCATAAAGGTGTATTTATGAGATCTTGGCACTGAAGTTGTTGTAAACATTTTCCTAATCTTGTGGTGGATTTTGGCTTTTATTTTTTGTGGGGGCTAATTCTCATTTGATTTGACGTCTCCCTCTTGAGGCTGATGACAGAAGAAATATATTGTCAAAATTACATAGCGGTTATTGTTTAGAGAGGTTATGACAATAGTGAGAGAGGTCTGTCTTAGACATGCACTGATAGACTGGCCAGGGACCGTCAGCTGATCGGAATCAGCAAAGCTCTATATCACCAGGTCCTTACATTAAAACACACCATTATAATTGCAATCGGTGTGTTTCCCAATTCCTTACGTATTGATACTTGTGTAGGACAATTTGTTGTCACATTTAATGTAACTGGTAAGCATAGTTTTACATTTTTTATTAATTTTTAGGGCCCGGGCACTGACAGTGCAAAGGCCGTATTGTATCTGCTCCGTTTCTTCTTCTTATTATTATTCAGGCAAAACAAGGGCCTTTTTGAGGGCTTTAACATGCTCAAAAACTCATGAAATTTTGCACACATGCCAGGTCTGGTGAAAAATTTTGTATTTTAATGGTTTTACATATGAGCACTAGGAAATGGCTCTAGAGCGCCACCTATGTGTTGTTAAATGCAGCCCTACAAACACATCGTTTGAGCTACATGTATGAAATCTGGCACACATGTGTACCATGCCGAGACAAACAAACAAAAAAAGTCTGTTGGTCCATTGACGCAAACCCAACAGGAAGTCCGCAATTTGGAAGTGAAGGTGACATTTTGGCTCTAATTTTGCCATTTCCATGCCTCGAACTTTTTCGAACTCCTCCTTGGGATTTGGTCGTATAAGCTTCATCTTTGGTCAGTGTCAACTACACACCTGGGCCATGTTAAATTGCGGAGCTTTTGAGTTTTCGTGATACGGTGAGGGGGTGACGCCATGGCGAATTTTGATGACTCGCCATGAAAATCTTGTTGCCTCTCATTCTATCATACATTGTCCGATTTGGACCAAAGTGAACACATATGATAAGGCTCCAGCCCTGAACATATTTCAACTGCCATATTTGTTATCGGGGACAGCGCCACTTAGTGGGAACAGGAAATGTCATGTTTTACACTTTGGGGTACAGTATTGTGATGGGTGACATCTGCAGCCTCAAATTTCTCCAGGAAAGCCTTAAGGAGTTGGTCTTGTGTTACAGTGAAAACTGTGAGTTTTCGCGAAAGGGTGTGACCCCAGCGGCATGGCGAACTTTGATGTCTTGCCATGAAGAAACAAATTAGTGTAACTCAATGAAATCCAGTCTGATCAGTACCAGACTTTACAGGCATGATGTCACACCCGCCCTGAACAGATTGATGTGCCCATTGTCGGGAATATGAAGAGCGCCACCTAGTGGCAACAGGAAATGTCATGGCTTTCACTTTGTTGTACTGATTTTCACAGGTTCATCGTGGACACCTCAAAAGCGGTGAATATCACCATGAGTCCCTCTTGATGCTTCAGTGAGAAAATTGTGACTGTAAACTGAACGGTGCACCCTGGTGGTAACGCGGTTCACCATGAAAAATGAAGTAGCTTTTGAGGGGCTTGGAAAGTTTAAAAAGTCTTGAAATTTGGCGCACACCTCCAATGTGATGAAGGCTTTGTTGTTATGTGATCACTTTCCTTGAATAGCGCAAAATGGCTCCACAGCGCGTGTTTTATCTATGAGTCTGAAACCTCGTAAGCTTATGGAAGATATCAAGATGTACAAAAAAGTCTCTTGGAGTAATATCCCAAATCCAACAGGAAGTCAGCCATTTTAAAATTAATGTGTAATTTTGGCGACATTTTCCCCTCCTTTCAGGCCTCGTACTTTGACGAACTCCTCCAAGGGATTTCATCAGATTGGACCGATCTGCAGTTTGTGGAATCTAAAGACCTTTGTGATGTTAAATTGCGAAGCTTTTTACGTTCAGGAAAACGGGGTGGTCATGGCGGTACTTGGGGTTTCAATCACTCGCCAAAAAGCAGTAATCTGCTGTCACTCAAAAACACAATGTCCAATCTCTCCCAAAGGTCGCAGGCGTGATGAGACTCGAGCTCGGAAATGTTTGTTATGCCATTTGTCAGTAATGGTTAGAGCGCCACCTAGTGGGACGACTATAATCATGGTTGAATGAGGATATTAGCTGGTGGTTAAATGCATGAATTCCATCAATGTGACATCAGATCGGACGTGCTGGTTTTAGGTGTTGGGCGTGGCTCGACACGACGGGGTGCTCATAACGCTGCTTGCAGCTTTCATTTTTTTATTGTAATTGTGTGAAGGGATGGATGGTAATCTAAACAACAACCTTTTGAAATTATTTAACATGGTCTTTAATACCAAACATGACCTGTGAGCTAAAAGAATAAGCGATTGAGAAAAACAAAACTTGTTCCTAAGGGATACAGTGTACGCTTGGCTGACTGTTTTGACTTTGTTCTCATTCATCACTAAGTCATGTATCAGAGTTTTTGTCTTTTAGTTAGGGTTTTTTGTAACAGATAACAATAATGTTCAGTCAGTGGCAGTATTTGATGTCCTGGTATTAAATGTTTTTGTACATCTAACTCAAAATTAGAAGGTACTGAAAGATTATTTCAGTGAGTTAGGATTACCTTTCAATAACTATGTACTCTTAACTTACAGTGGATGAAGAGAAGCAGAGCTCAGACCGTCTCAGGATTGTGCTGATCGGAAAGACTGGCAGTGGAAAGAGCTCCTCAGGAAACACCATCCTAGGAAGAAAAGAGTTCACAGCTGGCGCAAGCCAGACATCAATCACCAAACAGTGTCAGAAAGCAGAGGGTGACGTGGACGGTCGTCCTGTTGTCGTGCTCGACACTCCTGGACTCTTTGACTCGACTTTGTCACATGAAGAGGTCTGTGAGGAGATGACTAAGTGCATCAGTCTTCTGGCTCCAGGACCACATGTCTTCCTGTTGGTGTTGCAGATTGGCCGACTCACAGCAGAGGAGAAGGAGACTCTGAAGCTGATCAAGAAAGTCTTTGGGAAAAATTCAGAGACGTTCACCATCATTCTTTTCACAGGAGGAGATACACTCGAACATCATGAACAGTCTATTGAAGATTACATTAAACATGCATGTGATGATTCCTTTAAAAGTCTGATCGCTGACTGTGAATTGAGATACCATGTGTTCAATAACCGTGAGAAACAAAGCTGCACACAAGTCAGTGAGCTGATAAAAAAGATTGACACCATGCTTAACAAAAATGGAGGAAACTGCTTCACCAATGAGATGCTGCAAGAAGCTGAAGCAGCAATAAAGAAACAAATGGAGAAGCTGCTGAAAGAGAAGGAAGAAGAGATGAAGAGACAGAGGGAGGAACTCGAAAGAAAACACCAGGAAGAAATGAAATCAATGAAAAGACAAATGGAAGAGCAAAGAAAAGAAAATGAACAGAGAGATGAGCAACTCAGACAGTTACGGGAAAGCATTGACTTTCAGTCTGAAGAGAGAAAGAAAGAACAAGAAACTAGAAAGAAAGAGAGAGAAACAGAAGAACTTAAAAGACAAGGATGGGAACAAAAAATTCAAGAATTGGAGAAAGAACTACGATCAGAGTCAGAATCAAAGGAAATGATTAACAGGGAGCTTGAACAGTACAAAGAAAATATAAGAGAGCAGGATCAACTGAAAGAAAAACAAAACCAAGATGATGAACAGAAAGAGCAGAAACTCAGGAAGCTCCAAGAAGAATACAACCAAGTAAAAGAAAAATATAAACGTGAAAAAGAAAAAGAGGATGAAATCAAAATAGAACAAGAAGAGAAACTAAAAGAGTTGGAGGAAAACTATAAGAAAGAAATTGAAAGCATGCAGGAAGACATGGAGAAGTTTAAAGAAGAGGCCAGACAAACAGCTGAAGAGTTCAACGAATTCAGAGAAAAAAATGAAGCTGTGATAGAAAAACTCATGGAGGAGGTGACGGATCTAAAGGAGCAACATCAGAAAGACCTGCTGGGAAAAATGGAGGAATATGAAAGATTAAAGGATCTGTCAGACTACAAAGAAAGTCTGAAGCAGGAAATAGATGTTCTGCAGGGTAAACATAAATCAGAAATGGCTGATTTAGTCCTGATGCTCCTGAGTCAAAAGCAGGAAAACAAGAAAAAAATTACAAGTATGCAGGAATCACACAGAAAAGAGGAAGAGAAGCTTAAAAAGGATCTTTCAAATGAGAAAAAGGAAGAAGAGAAGGAAGAAATTGGTAAACTAAAGAAGAAACAAAAAGAAAAAATGAAAGGATTCAGGAAACAGCTTTTGACCCAAAACAAAGACGACTGGGAGACAGAAAGGAGAAAGCTGTCCATCCAACATGAAAAAGAAATTTGTGATTTGAAGCAAACTCTTTTAACAAAGCAGCAACAAAATAAAAAGGAAAAATTGGGTAAACTAAAAGAAGAACACGAGCAAAAGCTGGAAAATTTCAAACAAAAGCTTCTGAAAGAAAATGAAAAAAATGAGAAAGAACAACTTGATGAGCTGCAGAAGAAACAGGAAAAAGAAATTAATGAACTAAAACAGAAACTCGGGACCCAAGATGACGACAGTACCAGGAAGGAACTGGAAGAAATGCAGAAAAAACACGAAACAGAAATTAATGCGCTGAAAGAAAAACTTCTGATTACAGACGAGAAACAGTCCTGCTTTGTCTCATGAGCAAAACTGCAGACATCAAGAGAGACATTCATGTCCTTTAATGATGCCAAGTATCACTATAACACATTATTGGGGACATTTTGGGAGTCTGTGGGGACTGAAGCACTTCTGGAACCAGCTTCAAGTGGACTAAAACTAAACTAAACTGGACTAACTAAGACAGATATAGCTACCTTAATTCTACCGTAAAACAATAAGACAAGCTACGCCCTCTCCCATGCTCCCAGGATGTGGGGTGAAGCCAGAACACCCTAGAATGTTACAGACCTCCATGAGACAGTCTTTCAATATGCCACCAACTATATACTTCTACACACAAGTGCAGTATTCTACCATATGCAAACTTATATCATTAAAAGATTATACTGACTACTAAGTACAATTTTCCATTGACAGTATTCTTTTATACTTTGAGTTGTGGAATAGTTTCTGATTGTCATTTTACAGATGTACTGAACATCAGTTAATAGTCTTCTTGTCATGATCCTGGGTCTTCTGACCCAGCGTTTTAAGTTTATTTTGTTCATTAGGTTATCTAAGTTCATTTGGTTATTAGACTCCTTGTGTTTTCTTCCCCTGTATTTAAGTTTCCCCTCACCCTTTATGTTTCATGCTGCGTGTCTTATGTTATCAAGTTTGTATTATCATGTCTGTCTCATGTTTCCTGTTTTATTTTGAAGGAGTCGTGTGTTCTTTGTTCATTGTATTTAGTTTCACTTCCCTTGTCCTGTCATTAGGCTCATGTCAGTCAGCTGTTCCTCCATGTGTTCCTGATAGGTTTGTAGCTTGAACCCATCCGCTGGAACGTTAAAGGCAATATAATTACACTGCAAAGCAAGACACAAGTAGGCAAGCTTCTTCATGTTTCTCGTGCACGGGAGAGAG